ACAAAATCACAAAATCATTTACATTTAATTTTAACATACACACACACACACACACACACACATATATATATATAGATAGATAGATAGATAGATAGATCCACAATTCAAGAATATGCTATAAATTGAAGCATATATGTATATATTCAAATATTAAAAACACACACATACATACACATAACAATATATTTAATTTTTAATTATTATATATTTTTAAAATGGTAGGCAATTACTGCATAAGCTTAAAACATCTGAAAATGTCGTCTTTTGTCCAGGCTATGCATCTGGTGTACCGCGCCCTGGAAAAGGAGCCTGTGCCCTCAGTCCTGCCCTCCTCTCTCATCCCTCCATCCAAAAGGAAGAAGTCATCAGGGTCCTTGTCCAGCATGGTGCCAGTGTTACCAGGCAGCCCGCCGCCACCTAAAGACAGCCTGCGCTCGACCCCCTCTCACGGCAGCATGAATTCCCTGAACAGCGCCGGGAGTTTGTCCCCAAAATACACCATTAAATCCTCACAGGTACTGTTTTATTGGTGCGTCTTCATGCTAATGTTGGACAGAAGAATTGAAGAGGGTCTGATGGTTTTAACTACAAAATAAAAAAAAACTAATAAAAAAAATCATAAAACCTAAACTAAAATTAAAACTGATTTTAATTTTGATTAATAAATACTGTGATGGTGCTTAAATAATACTAAGCCAACACTGACCTGGTCATATTTTACCCCAAAATCAATAATACCTTATTAATAATCCAAAATAATACTTTATATTTTCCAGGAACATTATGCATGTACAAAAAATATGTTCAATTTGGAAAATTATTTGTCATAATATATCAAATTGATTACATTAAACAATGAAATTTGTATGTAATTTGTATTTGTAATTTAATGTAATGTAAAATAAATTTTTATTCTGATAACAAAATCTCATTACTTTAATATAGTAATGGAAAAATCATCTTGTCAAGATACATTTCTTATTTATTTTTTTAAATTACATCAGCATAATTTAAATACATAACCGAATAGTAATATGCTAAATAAATACTTTACCGTTTTTATAATATTTATTTGTTTCAGTCTGAAATACTCACGTTGAAAATAAAGCTGATCCTTTAAGTCCTAAAATAGGTTCCACATTCCTTGTGCAAAATGCTGTTTCCTATTTTTCATTAGATTTTTTTTGAGAAAATATATGACCTGGACATGTTTTTGGCAGAGTTTTATTTATTTTTAATTTTTTTAGATTTACCCACCTGCATTATCTTCAGTACATTAAATGAATAATGAGCAATGTGAGCTGATAAATTATCACTTAAATTAAATTGCTATTAACTACTATTATGCTTACTATACAGACCTTTGCTTGCTTTAGTAGTGTAATGTAATGTGAAGCAATATTATTGTCCCTCATTTGAAGTGCTTCCTGTTTTTTCAGAGTTTGTCGGGTTATATGACACCAGTAGGCTCTGACATGGCCGCGCTCACTGAGATGCGCCGGGTAAACAATCTCTTTTTTTGTTCTTTCATTCCATGTATTTCAACTTAAGTATAATTTGTTCTATTTCTACAGTTAGGAAACCCTAGACGTAGATAAAAGTAGATTCACAATACAGCAAGAGAGCCACTAACATCTTATCACAAGTGCAACAGTTCTTACCTTATCTTACCAAACAATCTTCTTTTCCTTTCCATCCACATTTCAATGCTGCTGATGTTTTATGCCGTTATCACTGGCTAAAATCAGGCAATAATGTTCAAGTTGTGGGTAGGTAATGTTTGGAAAAAGCCTGAACAAATGCTTTCGATGGTCGGTTAGCCGAGACGTTGAGTTGAAAAGCATTTGTGAGAGATCCAGTGCTGTGAAATGGTGCTGTGTCTTGACTTCCCCATGTTTTGAACACCAGAGGTGGAAGACAAGCTGGTCTCTTCTCCTGTGTGGTGGCTCCTTGGTGTTCTCTACCCTTCTGTTTGTGTGGTGCTGTGCTTATGTGTGGTTCAGATGCAGCAGGACTGATTTAATGTGCTGGACCCCCTCATACAGGACAGCTCCAGCTCTGTGGGTTCAGGCGAGTTCACCGGGATTAAAGAACTGGACGATATAAGTCAAGAGATCGCTCACCTGCAGAGGTAATGAAATACACTGGCATGTAAGGGTGGTGTGTGGAAAACAAATGACAAAAAAAAAAATTAACTTCTATTTATACAATATTTTTTCTTTCATTTTATTTAAAGCTGCAGTCCGTAACTTTTTTTTGGTTAAAAATTATCCGAAATCAATATTTGAGCAAGTACATAACCAGCCAGTGTTCAAAACTATCGCCTTACTTTAGCCCGATTCACAACGGTCATCTTATAATAATGTTTTCTAATTTGAGTGGTAAAGGAAGGTTTCCGCAGGAAATTCGAGCATGGCACTGCGTCATTACGTCACGTCTGTAAAGTAGTCCCGGCTACTAGGCTATCGCATGTGAGGATCCTGCAGGTGGCCGATCATTTATAGCCTTTTCTCACAGCAGCCAGAATAATTAAATGTATCATTTTGATGGCTGATTGTAATCCAGAAAGGATTATGTGTTTATGAAACACGTGAATGAAAATCAATTATATTCCCATTTTAAATGTGCTTCTGACTACAGATTTACACAGTTTGATGTGATATGAGCTCATTTAGATTAAATCACCATTGGTAGCGTGATTTATTGTAATGCTTTTTTCCTCAGTTGGTCAGAACAAACGTGGCAGACTTGTTACTTACTTGTTCAGATGACAATATCCAGTGAAAATGCTTATTTGAGTCATATATTCCAAGACGTAGTCTAGAATCTGTGAGTGTAAAGTACAATATTCACACCGGTGTGGTGACTGACTGCCACACATACTCCTCAAAACATTAGATTAATCCGCACTGGAGCCGGGCCGCTGCACAACCCACACAACGAAGATAATTCCGCACACAGCTGCAATTGCAGGTTTTCAAACAGAGATGGCGACAAAGAGGCAAAACGTACGGACTGCAGCTTTAATTTAATGAATTTAATGATACACAACTTTTTCTTTAAGTTTGGGGTCAGTAAGAATTTAAAAAAAAAGAAATTAAAGAGTTATTTCAGCAAGGACTCATTATAACCAGCCAGTGTTCAAAACTATCGCCTTACTTTAGCCCGATTCACAACGGTCATCTTATAATAATGTTTTCTAATTTGAGTGGTAAAGGAAGGTTTCCGCAGGAAATTCGAGCATGGCACTGCGTCATTACGTCACGTCTGTAAAGTAGTCCCGGCTACTAGGCTATTGCATGTGAGGATCCTGCAGGTGGCCGATCATTTATAGCCTTTTCTCACAGCAGCCAGAATAATTAAATGTATCATTTTGATGGCTGATTGTAATCCAGAAAGGATTATGTGTTTATGAAACACGTGAATGAAAATCAATTATATTCCCATTTTAAATGTGCTTCTGACTACAGATTTACACAGTTTGATGTGATATGAGCTCATTTAGATTAAATCACCATTGGTAGCGTGATTTATTGTAATGCTTTTTTCCTCAGTTGGTCAGAACAAACGTGGCAGACTTGTTACTTACTTGTTCAGATGACAATATCCAGTGAAAATGCTTATTTGAGTCATATATTCCAAGACGTAGTCTAGAATCTGTGAGTGTAAAGTACAATATTCACACCGGTGTGGTGACTGACTGCCACACATACTCCTCAAAACATTAGATTAATCCGCACTGGAGCCGGGCCGCTGCACAACCCACACAACGAAGATAATTCCGCACACAGCTGCAATTGCAGGTTTTCAAACAGAGATGGCGACAAAGAGGCAAAACGTACGGACTGCAGCTTTAATTTAATGAATTTAATGATACACAACTTTTTTTTAAAGTTTGGGGTCAGTAAGAATTAAAAAAAAAAAGAAATTAAAGAGTTATTTCAGCAAGGACTCATTAAATTGATTAAAAGTGACCATACAGACATAATGTAATGTCACAAAAAATCTATTTCAAATAGAAATGTCACTTTACATTCATCAAAGAATCCTGAAAAATACTGAAAGCACGTATCTGCTTTATGCAAAAATTGAATGATACTGTGTTTACCATGGTTATTATAGTAAACTAAAACCGAAACCATATTAAAAAATAAATATTTAATTGTTTTATTTCACCTAGTTATCTAGGCAATATTTCAAATTTTTTATGTAGTTTAACTTGATGCAATAGTATAGCTAAAAGTCAAACTGAAATTCAAATGAATATGAACTATATAGACATATTCTTAAAAAACGAATAAAATGTCAAAAGCAGAACAAAATTACTTGACCTTTAAAAAAAATTAAACCGAAAATACAAAAAAAAAATTCAAAATATTTTAAAAACTTATAAAACTGTGTAAATATATATATTATAACAAAATATATTAAATAAATGTATTGTTAATATAATAAATATTTAAATGTAAATTGTATTATAATTCTTTGATAAATATATTATAAAAGCATTTTAAAAGTGTTAAAATATATTTAAAATATTTAGATTTCTTTTAAGTGTTGTTGAACTTGTGAAAACAAGCATGCAAAGTGTTTTAATAACTGTTTGTCCATGTGTAGAAATGTTGCTATGTAAATCCCTTCTAGTTCTCTTAATTCTTCTGAATTCTTCTGAATCATACTCAGAAAAATAAACACAACAGACAGCAAACAGTATTTATAACTATTTCTCTTAGGGACTGCAAAAAAATAATAATAATTCTGCCGCTGTCCAAAGTGTGTGAATATAAGTTTTTTTTGTTGTTGTTGTTGTTTTTAAAGATGTTTAGGTAGTAATTGTGTGTTGTAAACAAAATGCTTTCAGGTGTGGACATTTTTTTAAATGTAAAAAAAATTGATGCTGTTTCAGTTTTTGTTTTATTTTGAGGAGGTGCAGATTTTTTTGCCCGGATTTTGCTGCCTACTGTTGTCCATTTTTCTCTTTGGCTCACCCCACCAAGTCTAGCATATTTGTCCTTTTCTGAACAGTTGCCTTATAGATGACCCTGAGCTGACTCTCATGCTAACACGCACCCTTCAAAGAAAGAGGAAAGGTACCTGAGAGCTCTTGGTGGTGGATGAGTTTCCCTCTCCTCATCTCACCTCCTTCCCCTCTTCACAGTGTCCGTTTAATGTGTTTGTTTCCTTTACGAAATCTCTTGTTTCACTTGCTTATTCATGCTGCCTCAGCACTCTTGCTTTCACACACTGGGATACACTCAGGTAAAACCTTCTCTTGGCTGTCAAGGTTTTTGTTTTGTATGTGTGACAGATTTTGTGTGTGAAGGAGGCAGGTATGAGGGATATTTTCAAGTTGCCAACAGTTGATACAAGATTTTGTCTCTCTTGTTTTATTATTTCAATAGAGAGAAATACACTTTGGAACAAGACATCAGAGAAGCGGAGGAGGCGATCAGACACAAGACCACAGAGGTTCAGGTAAACCTGGCAGTGCTATTATTATTAGTAGTATACAGTACATTTATTTTAATACTTATAAACGTATATACTTCATTTCACAGGATTATTGATATATTTTAAAGTAATTATATCATAATTTTAAGAATATTGTTAAAGTAATTTGAATAATTATTGTTATTATTATAATTATTATATAGAAAATGTATGTAAAGTAAAATGTAAAGTTTATATTGTTAAAATATTTTAGTTTTATTATTAGCCTATGATAAATGTAAATTATAAAATATACTTAAAGGATTATTAACATATTTTAATATGTAAATACATTTAACTATATTACAAAAATGATATAGATCATTGTATTCTTTATATTATAATTATAAAATATACTTATTAATTATTAGTATTATTAATATAAAAAAATACGTTCATAAATATATTCATATACTAAAACAGATCATTTTGTTATTATTTGTATTATAATTATATTAAACGTAGATGTCGACCATGAACTCCTCTGTATACCAAAGTATTCTAGAGTCAAATGTGAGCCCATCCGTCCGACAGCTAAAGTTATGCCAAGATTGGGTCATGCAACAGCACAATGATCCCAAGCACACCAGCAAATCTACAACAGAACAGCTGAAAAGACAAGAATCAAGGGGTTGCAGCAGTCCAGTCAAAGTCCAGAGCTCATCCTGACTGAAATGCTGTGGCGAGAGCTGTGCATAACGTAAACCTGGCAGTGCTATTATTATTAGTAGTATACAGTACATTTATTTTAATACTTATAAACGTATATACTTCATTTCACAGGATTATTGATATATTTTAAAGTAATTATATCATAATTTTAAGAATATTGTTAAAGTAATTTGAATAATTATTGTTATTATTATAATTATTATATAGAAAATGTATGTAAAGTAAAATGTAAAGTTTATATTGTTAAAATATTTTAGTTTTATTATTAGCCTATGATAAATGTAAATTATAAAATATACTTAAAGGATTATTAACATATTTTAATATGTAAATACATTTAACTATATTACAAAAATGATATAGATCATTGTATTCTTTATATTATAATTATAAAATATACTTATTAATTATTAGTATTATTAATATAAAAAAATACGTTCATAAATATATTCATATACTAAAACAGATCATTTTGTTATTATTTGTATTATAATTATATTAAACGTAGATGTCGACCATGAACTCCTCTGTATACCAAAGTATTCTAGAGTCAAATGTGAGCCCATCCGTCCGACAGCTAAAGTTATGCCAAGATTGGGTCATGCAACAGCACAATGATCCCAAGCACACCAGCAAATCTACAACAGAACAGCTGAAAAGACAAGAATCAAGGGGTTGCAGCAGTCCAGTCAAAGTCCAGAGCTCATCCTGACTGAAATGCTGTGGCGAGAGCTGTGCATAACCAAATGCCCACAAACCTCAATAAACCTGAGCAACGTTGTAAAGAAGAGTGAGCCGAAACTCCTCCAGAACGATGCGAGAGACTGATAAAGTCATACAGAAAATGATTACTGCTAAAAGTGGATCTACAGGCAGTTGAATCATAGAGTGTCCTAACTTTGTCACACGTGACTTTTCCATCTTGACTTTATTTTTGCTAAATAAATAATGTCACGGTGTGCTATGTCATGTGATGTTGTTCGTCTGAGGTTTTATTTTCTAAATGTTAAGACCTGCCAAGGACCAGATCATTTTTAATTATGTCCTCATACAGAAAACCATGGAATTCAATAGGGTGCCCTGACTTTTTCACATGATTGTATATTTAAATGTATTTTATTTTGTTATGTTCTGTGAGAAATGTATGAATTAAAAAATATAGCTAATGTATGATTCATGTATTTGAATATATTATTATAAATAATATTGACATTTTATTTGTGTTATAAATAAAAATATTCTTAGTGTTAATAATATTTAAAAGTAAATGCATGCATAAATGTATTTTATTATAAATATAATAAAACTAATAATTTTTACTATGATTTGTATTATAAAAATATACATTATAAAATATATTTAAAGAGTTATTAATATAATAAATGTAAAAGTATTTGACGTATTATTGTTCTGTTAAATATATATAAATTTTACAAATATATTTAAGTTATTATTAATAAGTATTTTTATTTTTAGTATTTTATTCTTAATTATTAATATATGTGAAAATTAGTATTAAGATATTTAAAAGTATAATTTTTTGTTGTTGTTGTTTTTTTTTACCTTGTCATTACAAGGTACGTTGGCTTAATTATTAACTGAATTTGGTTTGATTGCCAGGAGATGCAGAACGATCTGGACCGAGAGACCTCTACCCTCCAGGAGCTTGAGGCACAGAAGCAGGATGCTCAGGACCGGCTGGAGGAAATGGACCAGCAGAAGGCAAAGCTGGAAGACATGCTTAATGACGTACGGCAGAAGTGCCAGGAAGAGTCACAAATGGTGAGTGAAAACCTTGAGAAGACAGGATTACAATATCCTCGGCCAACACTTTGTCAGTGACATTAAACACATCCAATCTATTTCTGTTCAGATCTCATCCCTACAGTCCCAGATCCACTCGCAGGAGTCGGACCTGCAGAGCCAAGAGGAAGAGCTGGGCCGGGCCAAGGCTGACCTGAACCGTCTGCAGCAGGAGGAAGCTCAACTAGAGCAGAGTCTACAAGCTGGCAGGATTCAGCTAGAAACCATCATAAAGTCCCTCAGAGCCACACAGGACGAGATCAACCAGGTTGTGCCTTCAGAGCATTTTATATTCAAACCACTAGGGGTGACGAACACTTAAAAGATGTCAAGATTTCAAATGCATTCATGCATATAGGGTTGCTTATGACACTAGAAGGCAGCCACCAGAAACTGCTTTATCTAATAATGCCAGAAAAAAGAAAATGTGATGAGCGTTTCAGTTTATAATGGAATAAAAACTGATGTGTGTATGTTGCAGGCTCGGAGTAAACTCTCCCAGATCCAGGACAGCCAACACGAGATCAGCAAGAGCATCGAGCAGTACAGCAGCACTCTGAACGGAACCCACGGCTGTTAAATATATATAAATTTTACAAATATATTTAAGTTATTATTAATAAGTATTTTTATTTTTAGTATTTTATTCTTAATTATTAATATATGTGAAAATTAGTATTAAGATATTTAAAAGTATAATTTTTTGTTGTTGTTGTTTTTTTTTACCTTGTCATTACAAGGTACGTTGGCTTAATTATTAACTGAATTTGGTTTGATTGCCAGGAGATGCAGAACGATCTGGACCGAGAGACCTCTACCCTCCAGGAGCTTGAGGCACAGAAGCAGGATGCTCAGGACCGGCTGGAGGAAATGGACCAGCAGAAGGCAAAGCTGGAAGACATGCTTAATGACGTACGGCAGAAGTGCCAGGAAGAGTCACAAATGGTGAGTGAAAACCTTGAGAAGACAGGATTACAATATCCTCGGCCAACACTTTGTCAGTGACATTAAACACATCCAATCTATTTCTGTTCAGATCTCATCCCTACAGTCCCAGATCCACTCGCAGGAGTCGGACCTGCAGAGCCAAGAGGAAGAGCTGGGCCGGGCCAAGGCTGACCTGAACCGTCTGCAGCAGGAGGAAGCTCAACTAGAGCAGAGTCTACAAGCTGGCAGGATTCAGCTAGAAACCATCATAAAGTCCCTCAGAGCCACACAGGACGAGATCAACCAGGTTGTGCCTTCAGAGCATTTTATATTCAAACCACTAGGGGTGACGAACACTTAAAAGATGTCAAGATTTCAAATGCATTCATGCATATAGGGTTGCTTATGACACTAGAAGGCAGCCACCAGAAACTGCTTTATCTAATAATGCCAGAAAAAAGAAAATGTGATGAGCGTTTCAGTTTATAATGGAATAAAAACTGATGTGTGTATGTTGCAGGCTCGGAGTAAACTCTCCCAGATCCAGGACAGCCAACACGAGATCAGCAAGAGCATCGAGCAGTACAGCAGCACTCTGAACGGAACCCACGGCGGCAGCATGACCAACCTGGCCGACATGAGCGAAGGCTTTCCAGAGAAGGAGAATGGCGGTTTCGGAGCTATGGTGAGAAAGTTTACCTTATATTTTAAGCTCCTCTCCAAATTTAGTACTTAGAATGGCAATAAAAGAAATCATATATAGAATTAATTGATGTTTTAATAAAAGCATCTGCTAAATGACTAAATGTAATATAAATGTATTATTATTTATATTTGTTTTTTTTATAAATAGTAATTAACATATATATTAATACATGTTTATTTTTATTACTTTTTTAAAAACATAATAAAACAAAAACACACTTTTATATATTGTTATATAATTGTTTTTGGTATTATTGTTATTTATATAATAAGTATTTATATAAGTATTTATGTAGTTGTTATAAAAAATTATATACTATATTTACTATATAAAATAATACTACAAGCATGTTTAAAAATAATACAAAATATAAAATTAATACAAGTATATAATTTTTTTTAATGATACACACACACATGCGTTTGTTTTTGTGAATTGTGGGGACATTCCATAGGTTTATACTGTACAAACTGTATGTGCTATTGCCCTACACCAACCCTACACCTAAACCTACCCCTTACAGGAAACTTTGTGCATTTTTACTTTCTCAAAAAAACTCACTCTGTATGATTTATAAGCGTTTTGAAAAATGGAGACATGGGGTAATGTCCTCATAAGTCACCTTCTCCTTGTAATGCCTGTCATACCCATGTCATTATACAAATTTGTCCTCAAATGTCACAAAAACACACATACACGTATACACATGCATTTTAAACGGGAACAGGCCTGACTGATTACATTTCTTCATGATTATATTAAGTTTCATAGTTGCACAGTTATTTGTCACTTATTGTTTTTTCTAATTTAAGTTTAAAACCCAGAGTATTTCTGAAGAATCATGAAGCTCACTCCTTGTGTGATTGCGATTGAACTCCTGTTGACATTCTCTGGTTTCCGAGGGAGAACTTTGCTTGCTTTTCTTTCTGAATTATGCCTTGCATGCAAAGGTACAATTTGGAAACCCAGCACTATTAACAGAGCTTCTTATGTTATTTGGAACAGCTGAGGTGCTGGCTTAAACTGCAAATTGTAGGCACAAAATGGCTGAAATTTATACTTCAAGATTCTTATTTCAAGTTTTTTTTTTTTCTGAATTGCTAGTGCTTTCCGTCTTTTCTTATTTTTTCCTATTTTCGGCTGGACCCCTAACATAGTGTTGGCCTACTTCTTAGACATCTGGATTAAAAGCTAGCAGGTCAAGCTGTTATCATAATCAACTATAAAATGAATGTGACAACATTTCTACAATGTCTTTGAGAAAAAAACAACAACATAACATAATACAGACATAACAAATTTGCTCTGGGCAGGAATGAACCTTTTATGCTGATCCATGTTCAGCACCTCTTACCCAAAACCTTCTGTAAGAGAATCAATAAAAGAGGCCTCGGATCAGTGTGAAAGCAAACATCTACGGTCAACAATTGTTTGTTTAAACCCATTACAGGAAGACCCTTTCAAGGTGAAAACCACTGTGTTCAACAGCGCCCCGCAGGAGATGCACACGGACCCCTTCCAATCTGAAGACCCATTTAAAACAGACCCATTCAAAAGTAGGTCATGTATTTATAATTATATATATTTTTATTTTTCCCTTTTGTTCTGCTCAAATTAAATACCTCCCTTCCTTAGAGATGGGTCAGGATGCAGTACTAACAGTAAATACTTAAATGTTTAATTTCAAATTTCTGTTTACTGGTGGTTGTGTGGCACATTCTGGGGCCACGCTTTTGAAGCCTTTGTAGTAGCTACTAAACACATCTCCTGCTTTTTTTTTGTTTGTTGTAAGGCGATCCATTCCAGAATGACCCTTTCTCAAAGCAGACCTCCACAGTTGCAGGTATCCAGTCCTGAAATCAGAAATACATGAAGCGCCTCTCCAGTGTTGAGCTCTGAACTTAGAAGATATCAAATAAATATATCTGTTACTAACTAAATGTTTATTTAGATGCATACGGCATCAACGTAGTATCCATGATAAATCCATTCTAAAAATATTTGATTTCAAGCTGTTATTAGTATGCGTACTAACATGATCTGTTCAGCCAGGTCTGAAAATAAGTGAATGAATAAGTTAAATATAAATATATGTAAATATACAACATAATAAATAATATATGAAATATTAGATATAAAGTATATAATTAGACATATATACACACACTTGGCCACATTTCATTTCAGTTTTTCATAAAAACTTGCCCAAAGCTTCATGGTATTAAACTTTTTGTTCACATACCTTGGCACAGTTCCCCCTTGGTAATAAATGAGGCTTTCCATTCCCCAACTCTCATAAAATTTGGCTGAATATACATGATAAAGTGATATAATGTAAATTATGTTATTCAAATGCAAGACTTTCCCATGACAGTTACATTAATTTGTAAAATCTTTTAGATCCTTTCGGCGGAGACCCTTTCAAAGAGGCCGACCCATTTAGGAACTCTTCTGAAGATTTCTTTAAGAAACCCTCGAAGCCAGACCCCTTCAGCAACGCTGATCCTTTTAGCAAAAGTGCCACACTTCCCTCAAAGGTACCCAGAAAACCAACAACATCACATTATTCCCCTTATTCTCTTACTTGTTTCTCAACTCTCTCTTCTCTTCTGTCTTATAGAGTCATCATTTCTCAAGTAATGACCCCTTCAGCTCTACCAGCCCCAAACCAAAAGGCCAAGGTACAGTCTGCATGTGTCTCTCACTTGTTGAGCTGAATCATAACATCTCTGCCACTCCCTTCCTTTAAAGATACCGTGCAAAGATCGGCCTCTTCAACTCTGCATGCAGCAGAACTTAAACCTCTGAAACTGATCTGGTATCAGCTGAAAATGCCTTGTTTCCTCACAAACGCCTTGAGGGACATGCTTGGGGTGCTTACACAACACAAGCAAGATGATACTTTCACACCCCGTGCCCAGTGGCGACACTTTTGTCTTTTTTTTTTTCCAAAGGCCACTCAGAGAGCAGTTTGAGAGAACACGTGTGAAGAAGCTGTCAAAAGAGTTCCCATGCAATACATCCTCTCGCAGACCCCTTTGGCACCCTGAACAACGTGATATTCCTCTGCTGTTTCAGTAAACAGTTAATGCAGCATTCTGTTGCAGCATTGTTGAACACTGAGGCGAATGCCAGGAAATGCTCAACACATTTTTTTTCAAACCTGTGGGTTGAAGGCAAAAAAAAACACAAAGACTACAAAGCAAACTGATGCTTTACAATTTTGTTTTGACTTTTTGAAATGGAAAATTAATACTCCTATTTGATGGCTTCAGTATGCATTTTATTTGATCCTATTACTATTGTGATTAAGGCCCATGAAGTGTATATTTGACTATATTTAGTGACTATAAAATAAATGTAATGTATTTATTAAAAGTGGTCAGATGAGTACTTCAGCGATCATTGACCATAATATTATTTTAAATAAATAAAAATCACTCATTTATTTATAGGTTATTTATTCATTATTATATTTAGTCAAATTAAAAATAAGTCAATAAAAGTAGTCAAATAAGTAATTTGCCAACCCTTGACCGTAATATTATTTTAAATAAAAAATTTGTATTTATTTCATTTAACGCTATGGTGAAAGAAAAGTATGTTGAAAGGAAAGTATTTATTTGCCAGTTTTTTTTTGGTAGCTTATTTTCATAAATAAATAAAATGTATTGGTACTTTAAATAAAAAACTTTTATTTTTTTTAAATTTTTTGTATTAAAATAAGGCCTAATAGCTGTTTTTTTTATTCAGTATCATTAAAATTGTTGAGTTGCATTAAAAAGTCTTACAAAATTGCTTTATATTATTTAATAAAATAATAAATAATTATTACAAAGCATTTTTGGTTTCGGTTTTCGGCCAAGTGCATCCAGAATTTTTGGTTTTCGGCCCAGAATTTTCATTACGGTGCATCCCTACTTATAATCTCTAAATATTTCAAAATGTCTAACATAATTTTTCAATTTTCTTGACTTGTTATGCTATTGCCTCATTGTTTTTCTCTGCCAATTCCAGATTTCTTCGGTACTTTGGACCCATTCGGAAGCAGTTCGTTCGGCAGCAGCAGCGGATTTGCAGACTTCAGCCAAATGTCAAAGGTAATGAACACCTTTTTCACATTTTACATTTGCATCTTAAGCATAGTGGAACTTCACTTTCTCATGCTTTTGCAACATGACATTTTTAAGATGTGGTTTTGATTGATGTCCCACTCATAATTTGCGCGGTTTGCACCTTATGTGTCTGATAATGGCCCACTGCTTCTCCTTTCCACTGCGCTTTAATATAGGGCTTTGTAGACGACCCCTTCAGCCGAAAACAAGACATGCCAGCTCTCCCACCCAAGAAAAGCATTCCACCGCGACCCAAACCACCCAGTGGTAAGCATTTAACCTTCATCTCAAGTAGGGTTGGGTACCGTTCACATTTTAACCAATACGGTATCGGTATCGTTACCTGAATTTCGGTGCCGGTACCCAACGGTACCTTTTTTCGGTACTTTACTCTCTGTGTAATTACAAAAACATTTCTTTCAGTGAAGTCCAAAAGTCTCAATTTTATATCAAATGAAAATTAAACCCTTTTATTTTTTGGCAAACAAACTGAGGTTTACTGTTGAAATTAATACATGGAAGAAACATTGTGTGAATATTCCTTTAAAACATTTTTTTAATAGGCTAATAATTGTATTATTTTTTCTAAAAATTAAGTGATTAATCTGGTTGTAATATTTATTTTTATCATTTAATTGTTTTATTTAAATTTGATAGAAAATTGAATATTTAAAGATGTACATTATCCTGTACAAAAGTAATATATTTCGGTTACATGTTAAACCGTACTTTTATTTTGACAGGTTACCATGAAGTTTCTGTGTGTGTATAGTACGATGATGCTAGTTTTCTCAAATGAAACGGTAAAATTCTCGTGAAATGACTCTCACAGCAGCTCTGGAGATTAAGTTTTTGTGTTCATGCCATCAAATGAAAATTAAACCCTTTTATTTCTTGGCAAACAAACTGAGGTTTACTGTTGAAATTAATACATGGAAGAAACATTGTGTGAATATTCCTTTAAAACATTTTTTTAATAGGCTAATAATTGTATTATTTTTTCTAAAAATTAAGTGATTAATCTGGTTGTAATATTTATTTTTATCATTTAATTGTTTTATTTAAATTTGATAGAAAATTGAATATTTAAAGATGTACATTATCCTGTACAAAAGTAATATATTTCGGTTACATGTTAAACCGTACTTTTATTTTGACAGGTTACCATGAAGTTTCTGTGTGTGTATAGTACGATGATGCTAGTTTTCTCAAATGAAACGGTAAAATTCTCGTGAAATGACTCTCACAGCAGCTCTGGAGATTAAGTTTTTGTGTTCATGCCGTCATATAGTGAGACGCAGAGGCCGGAAATCACAGAGAGCATCACGCGTGCTTCAGTATTTGTGTAGTAAACAAAACCGCGTCTCCGCCATTCATACATACAGAGGCAAGCGGAACATGCAAGATTCATATTTAAACCGTCTTTTTGCATTTTAATATTCACAGACACTAGTTCATATCGCGATTCGAATTAAGTGGCAGTGACTACTTTTGACTTATTCGTCCAAAATTGACGAATTCCGTGGCATTCCGCGCTATAGAGTAAATTACGTTTTTATGAATGGACTCCACGATCTTGTCCGCGTTTTCGCAGAAACCATATGGCCCTAGAAATGTAACCACACTTCAGAACATTTCGGCTTGCCCTGTGTGTTGTTTGAACGAGTTGCAGGGGTGACATCGCGTCACAGGGTCTCTCATTCTCTCTCTGTATGCGCCCAGATGCATTCTCAGGTACCGAAATTTGGCACCGATTGATTTAACGTGAATCGGTACTCGGTAGTACCGACGCAATTCGGTCGGTACCCTTAAAAGTACCGAGTTCGGTACCCAACCCTAATCTCAAGGCCCAAAAACAAACATGGACCCTTTTCAAAAAGTTTATATTCATGTACAACCATATAAGGTTTTTAAGCTAGTATGTTAAATTAAACTATTACTACAAATACACAACTAATTGTGGCAATAAACAAAATGTAGACAAAACAAGCAATCTAAACAGCCAACATGAAAGACCTGGAGAATGTTGTTTGGGTGGATTTTTCTCTATGCTTTTGGCAATCACATTGAAGCAGACACATCTTCAAAGTGTAGCATCACTACATCTCTTTTAACTAGTTGTTTGTCAGCAGTGAAAGCAAAACAGCTTTGAACAAGAAGCTGATGACCAAGTCTTTTATTAAGCTCTTGAGAAGTTCAAGAAAACTGAATTTTGACTGTCCATGATATCTAAGACTTCCCCCAACAGTTGTCAACAGGAAACTGAGGTACAACCTTGATATGTTTGCTTAAGCTTTTTCTTTTTTTTTCTTTTAGTTTTTTAATGCACAGTGGCGCAGTCCTATCTCCATCCAACTCCAAAATGGTGCACAAACAAACCGGAATGGAAGATAAATTTGTTACTTGGAGAAAGCGAAACCTGCGCTGTTTCCTCTCTGCAGTCCGTAGTTTGGAGGAAAGGCGAATCTGTGCAACTCACTCTTTTTTTTTGTTTTTTTGCAGCAACATGTTTTTTTTCATCCTAGAAAACAAGAGAGAACTTTCCTGGTGTAACTGAGGTTTAAAATTTGGTGGGGAGGTTAGAGAAGTAGGTTTGTTCAGTGCACTCAGAGTGGTATAGCTAACATGCTTCGATGATCTGCGGTTAGCCTGCACTGCCAGCATCGTGCGCTAATCTACACACCCCTCCCCACTTCCTGTGTGTGTGTGTGTGTGTGTGTTTACACACTTTAGTGGGTAGTGTGGCCTAGCTGCCACAAATTTTTACCCCAAGTATTTCACGTTTTACACATTTTGAACATTGTAAGTAGAGTTGAAGTATGTGTATCCAATAATGTTTTTTTTTAGCAGTTATGTGCATAATGGCAATAGTAAGTTAACAGATTAAATAAAAATGTAAAGTAACATAAAAAAATATGCAGCATTTGACTAATTAATGTATGTTTTGTCTGGGAAGACTACAATTTTAAAACCCAAACTAAAATTATTTTTGTTGTAAAATTGAAAATTAATTTATTTTTGTTAACGCAGTGTATCATTAAAGAGCATGGCTTGATTTTGACCTCTTTCCCTCAGCAGGGTGGAGTCTTTTTTTTTTTTGCGGTTTAGTATTCCGTTTACTGACAGAAAGAAACTGATTGCTGGTCTGGTATAAATAACAGCCCTATTGAACGTGGTTAACACCTTTAGAGGAACCAGCAACCAGTTTAAAGTTCTCACGAGTAAGTGAATGCCAGTCTTGGCAAAAAAAAAAAAAAGTGTGCATAAGCATTTTTTTAATCTGAAGGTCCTCACTGGTTTGTGATTACTTTACATTTCTTGGGCAAATTTCTATAATAAGCCAATTGCTTGTGAAAGGATTCTGCTTTTCTGTAAAACAATAACAGCATGTGAGCCATATTTTGTGCTCTTATTTGGTCTGTACAAAGAGACAGAAAGTTCAGTGTTGTTTTGAATTGAAGCCGAGTTACCGCATCATACACGCTTGAACCACTGTGGGTTTTTTGGTTGAGCTTCGGAAGGATATGTGCAAATGACAATTGTTTGATTATTATGTAGTATTGCAAAAATTAATAAATTTTTTACAAAGAATTACATTACTGTTCAAAAGTTTGGGGTCAGTAAGATTTTTTTAATGTTGTAAGAAGTTTTATACTCACCAAGGCTAAATTTATTTGTATTATTATTATTTGTAAAGTCAAAACAAGAATATTATGAAATATTATTAACATTTAAAATAACTCTTTTATTTGAATATGTTTTAAAAATTAATTTATTCCTGTAATGCAAAACTGAATTTTCAGCAGTCATTACTCCAGTTTTCAGTGCCACATGATCTTTCAGAAATTATTCTAATATGCTGATTTGCTGTTCAATAATTTTTTGAAAACAGTTTTGCTGTTTAATATTTTCGTGGGAACTGTGGTATATTTTTTCAGGATTTTTTGAATACAAAGTTCAAAAGAACAGCATTTATTTGAAATCGAAACCTTTTGTAACATTATAAATGGCTTAACTGACACTTTTGATTTATGGTGTCCTAGATTAATAAGTATTAAAAAAAATTATGTTATATGTGTTAAATATTATAATATTAATTATGTTTTTTTTAAATGTTGAAATGTGTCTTAAAATCATCACACATTATACATTATATGATGCTTAAACACTGGTTTTCCATTGTTTTTGTCAATTGTGTGGGGGTGTTGTGGTGTAGTTAAAGATCTGGGTTGGTAAACAAAAGATTGTAGGTTCAAATGCCATAAATCAGTAATGAGCTAGTGCTATATGTTTTCTATTATTGCTTAGTAAATAAAGCAATTAGAATTTGTTAGATGGTTATTATAAAGTTACACAGGACCAATTAATTTTCATTTAGCTTGTCGAAAATGAAACGCAACGGTTGGCTTAGACGTTCAAAATGAAAACTGCTTTTTTTCAACAGGTAAAAGCACTCCAGTAAACGTGCCTGGATCTGCCGATTCGACCAAGACGAGCGATCCTTTCCAGCCCTTCAGTGCCGACCCTGCTGATCCGTTTCAGAGTAAAAAGGGGGTGGGAGATCCATTTAGTGGCAAAGACCCGTTTGCTCCATCTGCCTCAAGTAAAGCCTCTAAAGACTCTTCATTGGGTTTTGCAGACTTCAGCTCTGTAAGTTGAGCTTAGTGATACTCTTCTCTTGTCCGGTCCACTTGTTTCTTTCCAAAATCGAAATCAAACCAACCAACAAACCAAAAAAAACTGCTCTCTAGCGATTATCAGTGAGGTTTTCTAGAGCAGACCGCACCATTGGCTTCTGTATCGCTCAGTCTGTCGCCTTGTGCCAGCTACTCATTTAGTTTCCTCCATGTCTGCAGTCCATCTATCTGTGATTAACTCACCAACGCACAGAATTCTGGATAATAAGCCCTAATCAAGCAGCCAGACATCATCTCTGTCTCTTTCAGTGACTCAAATACAGTTGTTTGTGGTGCACATGGCTATGATGTTATCTGTCGTTTTGCTCAGAGTTTGCATGGGCTTGTGGGAAGAGGAGCAGTCACACTTGGTGATACCAAGCGCTCTCGGCTAAGCTAATGTGGCTTCTCGCTGTTCTTCTGTGACTTTTTTAAAAAGCTTTTATGCAAATGTGTCTTGTTTTTCAAAGGAACACCGTTCAGGCTGCAATTGTCATTCAGAAGCAAAGTAAGGTCTTGTTTGAATGTACTTAAAATCAAGATGAGTTAGTGTATGGTTTACACTAATTTTAGTTTGGTGGTAAATATTTGCAAAAAGCTATGCATAATGAGGTTAAAAATCATATAGCAACTTAGATTATATTTTCCTATTTACTTGTAAATTTAAGTGACATACAAAAAAAATTCAGTGCTTAATGTTACTATGTGCACAATCAGTGTCAGTATTTTGCTTCTTATCTAATACAGATGCAAGTTTTCTCGCAACCCACAAGTTTGTTCTCATAAAATGTCAGTGTTTATACTAAAATGTATGTACTATGTCAGTTTTTTCACTTAATCGTCTGCGAAGTGGACCATCTAATTGGCTCCTAAAATAATCTGTTTCGTGAGCATCACAATTTTTTTCTCGTTCAAACAAAACGTCAGTGTTTAAAGTAGAATCTATGTACCCGATGTTAGTATTTTCCCTATATAGATGAGTGTGAACCTTCTGATTCACATGTGAAGGGAAATAATTTTGTTAACACGAAAGTTCGTTAGCTTAAACAAAATGTCAGTGTTAGTGTTATTAATGTGTCTGATGTTAGTATTGTCACTTCTTTGTCTGCAAAATGAACCATCTGATTGGCTCCTAAGAGAAACACATTTTCTTGGATCAAATTTGTTTTGCTTAAATATCAGTGTTTGTAGTATAATCAAAGTTTGTAATATCGGTGATTTTGTCTCAAATCGAGCTAGTTTATTTAAACTCAGTGTTGGTTTAAGCACTTTGTCTATTGTCAGTATTTTAGCCTCATGGTCCGCAAAGTTGGACCTTCTGATCATTTCCTAAAAGAGAAATGTAAATTTTCTTGCATTCCAATTTTTTTGGCTTAAAAAACATTAGTGTTTCTAATATAATTAAAATTCATAATATCAGTATTTTCATCTCAAATGTTGATAGTTTATCAGTTTCACCAATGTGTCTATTGTCAATATTTTAGCCTCATCGTCTGCAAAGTTGGGCCGTCTGATTGTTTCCTAACAAAAATGTTAATTTTCTTGCATCTCGAAAATTTGTTCACTTAAACATGATCCTGCAGCATGGATCATCTGATTGGCAACTAAAAGAAACTTTAGTTTTGTAAACGTCCCAAACTTTCGTTCACTCAAACAAATTGTCAATGTTTTATAGAGTTACCCAATGTAAACTAATGTAACTGTCATGAAAGTTCTTTCTTTCTTTCTTTCTTTCCTCATCCTTATAATGTACTCTTTCTAAACTAGCTCTGGTTCTCACCGTTCCCTTATCAGCCATCAGGTCATATTTCAAGAAGTGTGGGAAGCTTGTATTGACACATCTGCCGTGTGGTCACACTTCCACAAGTTAGTGGAACAAGTATAATCATCATCTCGATCTTATCTCAACTGATGTATTTTCAGCTCACTTAAACCTTTATCCTCATGTTTGAAATCACATAGAAGATTTAGTGAACTTGTTTACTAAAGGAGGAGAATTGAAGTCAAAGTATTCAGAAAAATGACCGCGATGTCCCATTTCAAAGTCAATAAGGGGCGATCGTTTGACATGGGAAGTGTCAGTATCACTACTCAGCTCTCAGGCTGTCGTTTTCCTCCGCATGGGATCACTGTGTGCTCCATACTGCAAATCCACTTGATCCTAGAGCCGCATCATCTTCATCTGCCCTGCCACCTGTCCTTAGTATCGCTGTGCATGACTTGGGTGCAATAGACTTGCTAAACCATCTCTGGTTTGTTACGTGACCAAAAACTCCCTGTAAGAATGATAATTGCATCGTTTACAATAAAAAAAAATTATGTTTACGAAATGCCAATGGGATTATAACCGTGTATTAAAAAAAAAAAGATGCATTACTACCAAGAAAATGGCGACACAAAAATTAAGGCATTTTAACAAATTCATCTGAACGAGTCTCAACAAATTATAATTAAGTTGTAGCTGTAGTTGATGCATGTGATATTACAAAAAAAAAAGTTTAAATTCAGTTTTTCTGTGTCCTTCAGGGTGGTTTAGCAACGCTCTCATTCACCTGTAGTCAACTTATTGTGCATGTTATGTTGCATATATTACGCCTATATATCACTGTACACGATTTGAAGCTCTCAATTGAAAAAGCTTTGTAATGTCTTTTCCTGCTGTCATTATCTTGCTGCATGAGATCAATGCATGTTCATTTTCCTGTCCATGACATCATTCGCTATTAACGACCAATTAAAAAGGTCCATCATGAGTCATCAGTGGTAGTGGTCTGTTGTGTGCGTGCGTTTGCAGTTCGGTGGATGGTTGCGTGGTAGTTTGGTGTAAATCTCTTTTGTGTTTTTTTTGTAATCCATTCCTCTCTTGCAGGAACTGAGCGTATTAAGGTAAGATCTGTCTGAAAATGAAACAAATTTTGTGTCTTGCCGTTTTGCAATCACAAATGAAGGTCACTGAATAATTTGACAGAAAATGTTCATGCATGCTTTTACAAATTTTGCATTTGTACACGTGCAAGATCAATCTACACACTTTAAACCCTTGTGCTGTTGCTGAAAATCCTTTAAATTGGCGTTCTCAGTCAAAAGTGGCCGGCCTTTTGAAAACTTCTTATTTCTCATTATGCTATATTATCATGTTTCTTTCAAGTAGCACAGGTTTTGTACTTCTTTTTGGAATTGATTTTTATTATAGGCTTCATTAAACTGAGCTTGAGTGAAAAAAGCTTTATTTGCAGATACTTTTGGCAATGTTCATTCAAAAAATTAGGCGTATAAGATCAGATAAACAATACCTACTATGAGTTGGTTCCAAAAAGAAATACAAAACCTGTGCAAGTTGATAACAAGATTTAATCCAACATTTGGTAATAATTTAGCATAAGAAATTTCTATCATTTTTGATGACTAAAAAATCCAGTGCCGCAAGTGGCACAGAAATATTTTTTTGATGACTTCCAATGTTACTATTGAAACTTTTTGGGTAAAAATTGGCATAAAAATATTTATTATTTGTGTAGCTGTTTGTATATATGCAAATATGTGTCTGTCTATCAATTTAGTACTTTAAACTTGATTTTTAAAGCAAAGCACTGTACCTATCAGTTCAGACCACAGCTTGATCACAGTGATTCACACCATTGTGCAATCCCCAGTTTGGGGCCAATGGCTCTTAACATGGCGTGTTCCTGTTTTTCCGGCCCAGTTTGGGAATGAAGCCCAGCAGATGGAGTGGGCGAAGCGGGAAAGCGAGAGAGCGGAACGGGAACGGCTGAAGAGACTCCGTCAGCAGGAGCAGGAAGACCTGGAACTGGCCATCGCTCTCAGCAAGGCCGAGATGTCCCATGCATGACCGCCTTCCCTTCACATCCACCCTTGTGTACACTACAGCAACGATTGTGTGCGTGTGTGATGGACCAAGATAAAACACATGCAAGACCGTTAAACCTCTGTCCTTTTGTGTTCGTGTGCAGGAGTGCGGCCTATGGTTTGTGATTCAGCTAATTCACTCGACATGCACTGCATTAACCTCTCAGATGGAGTATATAGTTTATTTAAAGTGTATTTGTGTGTAAATGTGCATCAACAGAGCCATGGACATTTGAAGACCATTATTGGTCTCTGCAGATCATTATCTCCACTGGATAGGAAAAAGGGACTGAGAAACCGCTAAGAAAGTTGTGTTTGGATCCCAGGTAGGGTCGAACTAGAAACTTGAATTACTGACGCTACACTCCCTCCTTTCGAGCCCTTGAGCAAGGCACCTAATTCCAGGTTTCTTCCTGAATTAAATAGCTGTAAGCGTACTGTAAGTCGATTTGGATAAAGAGCATCTGCTAAATAATAACTTTTACTGGCTCTGGCTGTAGTCAGTATGATACACACTGGAATTACTGCAGCGTCTGCAGACTAAATGTCTGTAAGTAGCTCTTGACGTGACGTAAAGCTGAACTTATTTTTATTTTTTCATTGTACTGTTCAGAGAAGAAGGTTCAGCAAAGCTTCTACAACTGCACTGATTTTTTTTTTCTTTTAAATTTTACCATATTAAATGATTTAGATTGTTGACACCACTGCAGGACTCAACAGTTTATTTTTTTTTTTTAAGTATTTGCTAGAAATATTTTTTCAAAACATTTTACATTGATCGTTCTATCTATCATCTATCTATAATTTTTTTGTTAGTTCTATATATTGTTAGTTTGTGCTATATCTTTCTATCATTCTGTCTTATCATTTGTTCATGAGTTCTATCTATCATGCATTTTCTTGTTTATCATTCGTTCCTCGCTCAGTTCGTTCATTCTTTTGTTCTATCGTTTATTTTTGTACGTTCTGTTTGTTTTTTTATTGTTTGTTCTATCATTCGTCTTCGTTTGTTTGTTTGTTTGTTTGTTCATTCAATCTTTTGATCGTTCTGTCAATCATTCTTTGTTGGATTGATGTACAAGTTCAATCAATGTTATACATCGGTCTTGTACAAATCTTGAGATTTTCAGTGGCCCCCAAACGCTTTCACACTGGCCATCTTTTGAGCTAACTTCATTGTTGAGTTCTGCTGTGGTATCAAATTTGGTTGCATAAGCGAAAACAAGCGCCTCCATGAGGGAATTGGTAAATGTTTAATTTGTTTTGCTATTTAGATTTTCATCGTCTTTAATTTGTTACTAATTTTGTATCTGCATAATCTGTGGGCCTGAAAGCACAAGCCTGCAGTTGCGCTAGTTAGTAAAATGGCTATTGTTTGAACCCGTAAATAGGCCAGCTGTAATGTGTAATGCTTTTTTTTGTTTTTTTGCAAACATCTTCAGAACAGATTTAATGCGTTAAAATGTTAAACATAGTTGGGATTACTAAACACCTGTTGGTAGCTGAAAGCACAATCAGTTTAGCCTAAATAAATTGATGTGGCATCGTGAACTTTGTGAATTCAGGCACAGTAGATGCTTTTAAAAAACGGGCAATTGCTGTTGTAGTTTATTGTTTGCTTGGCTCTATTTTTTTTTGTCAGTATTAAATTTGACTTGAACGTTTTGGTGATGGTACTTCCTAGCACATTTCAAACCTGTGTTTTTGTACGATTTAATTAACATACTACATAATACACACTTTTTTTTTTTTTTTTTTTTTGTATGTACCATCTGCTAGATTCTTTATCTGGTACTATTAACAGTTTAACCACGATCTGTTTTCACACATCCAACCTCGAATCATTGGAACAGCTGTTGGGGTCAGTCATTACAGGTACATTTTCCTGCATATTGATTGATGCTCATGTCCGACATTGTGGACACAAATGTGCAATGTTAAGACAAACAATTGTGACATCCCAGTACACTGCTAAATTTTAGCTATGTCACTCTTTTTTTGTTTTTGTTTGTTCCTCTTTCTTTACTTCCAATCAGCTTGTGTTGTTTTGACCGCAAATAGCTGCTTGACACTTTTTGGTCATGTTAGTGTCACACTAAACAGTGTTACTTTGTCTTATTTAAAATATGTAAAATGTATTAGATGGAGCCTAGCTCACAATGAAACTCATGGCAGTTGTTTTTGAAGCGATTTGTCATTCCAGTACTACACTAATCTTTAGTCAGTTGAGCGTTTTAACAAAACTGATTGTCTTCAGGACTGGAATCGAAAGCTGTTGTGTCCCAGACACAGATAACTTCTATTCCTGGCATATCAAGGGTTTTATGCCGTAATGTAGGCTGGGAGTGGGGTTATTTTGTGTGCAGGGGTCTTTGGTCTTGGCTTTTCTGCCTTTTACTGTTACAAAAAAATAACAAAACCATTCAAACTGGACAAACTTCGCAAACATTTTGTTAGCACTCCTGTTAATGCTGTATTTGTCCTCTATACCTCCATTGTGCAATAGTTTGTATATTTTATTTGTTGTAATACCTGTAAATTCATTTCATGTTTTCATATCCGGTTTTATTATCCACATTTGGTCTTTTTTTTAAATAATTAAACAGATTCTTTTTAAGTTACTGTCATAATTTTGGGTATACGTCAGATAAAACTCAAGTTGATTGCATTCCTTTTTGGCCTGCTTTTAACCAATACCTGTAAATTCATTTCATGTTTTCATATCCGGTTTTATTATCCACATTTGGTCTTTTTTTTTAAATAATTAAACAGATTCTTTTTAAGTTACTGTCATAATTTTGGGTATACGTCAGATAAAACTCAAGTTGATTGCATTCCTTTTTGGCCTGCTTTTAACGCTTGCCTGTAGATAAGACCGATATTAACCCGATAGAGAAATGTATCAGAGTATACATAAACCATGTATATTATGTGTTATATTTGTCCTATGAAACTTGAGTAACTGCACATGTGTAACTCGAAACATTTTAAGGATTTCAGACTGCATTGATAGTGATTTAGTGATGCTTAGATTCCTTTGGAAATGTTCATGCTCCGTTATGTTGTCCCTTGATTTCACAGAATAAACAAAACATTTAAGATGCACGTATACGTCACTCTTCTATTCACTTCATATGTGTTTGTCAAGAAAAATAAACTTTCAAATGGTGTAATGTCTAACACAGCCACCCCAAAATGCATTTCGACACTTACAAATATGTGAATGTCACTGCATTAGATCAAACCAAATGGCTTTATTTTTGAAGAAGAAAAAAAAGATTGTACAAACATGTTTTCATAAAGGTTTCGTCTGTTTTTTGTTTTTTTTTGGTTTACTTTGATTTTGGTTTTGTTTGGTTTTAATGTGTTTGATTTGGTTAATTATAAGCTGTGGGCTAGATGTTTTTAGTATATTTGTTAGTGTCCAAAGTAATTTTGCATACTTAGCTTAATGTAGCTAGTAAAACATGTCTATAGTTTAATATGATGAACTAGTCCTGTGTGTACTTGAGGGAAAATGACTTAACACAACTAATGTCAGTATCATTCATACAAATGAAGTGTGGCTTAAATGTCCAAAAGCTTGTTGGGATCACTGTATTTTGGGGTTAAATTGTGTTTTGTTTTCAGTAGGCCTAAAAAGTAGGCTAAGTTCTTGTATAATACTGCATATTAAATTGCTTTATTGTAGCTACTAAAATCGGAAATCCAATCTGAATGCAAAGGGAATGAGTCATTCTTGTATAACTTCTAGTTTCTTGAGGGCTTCCTTGTAGCTCAGTGGAACTTTGTGAAAACTGTATCCTGAAACACAAGAGAAGAGTGTTAACCGTAACAGGAAATTCCGAGATCGGTATTTACTTAGTTTGTGTGCTAGTGAACTTTGGGAATCAAAATTGTGGAAATGGGCCAAAGAGCCTTTCAGATTGGACTCCAGATGCTTCAATAGTTATTTTCCTCCTTTTCTAAAACACAGTGTTTTTTGTGAACGCTTGACGTTACTAATAACCAGTGTATGAAAAACATCTTTAACCCTGGCGAATGTCTTGACACTTTCCTTACGTATGCAGGGAGTTCCTGGGAATACGGGCTGCATGTCAAGTGAGACGATCCATGTGTGCCAATAATGATCTATTGTGTTTTACCAGAGCAAGGTGAGTATGTTAAATGCGACACACATGTACATGTTGAAGGTCTGGATGGGGTCATTAGCGTCACGCTGGTAACAAGAACCTCCGTGTGTGCTCACTTGGTTGATTGGATTCAAGGGGACCCTTTCACAGACTTGAGCGTATTGACAGCTGGCTGGGAAAAGTTGGCCTGCTCCTGCGGCGAGAATTGCTCGGAATGGATATTGATTTAAATCAGCATGTTGACTAATCGGACCTCGATCTGCTCGTGAAGAACTCCAGAAGTGAGCGACCCGAGCTGGATTTCGTGTATTTAATCAGCTGGGCCTGGGCCCGAGAAACAAGGGCTCTCCATCGAGTAATGCTGCCCTGGGGATGTTGCGGTGCACTGACGGACACTCTTATGCACTCCACCAGGACCGTCAGCAGAGGTATGCTGGGAAATGTAAGCCAGATGGCCACTTTCCATTATGTTGTCACACAAATGTGGTTTTCCATCAGCCATTGGGATTCTCGTTTTTCAGTCTTTGTTTTGTTGGTGCAGAGGTGATTTGGAGGAACTGACATGTGATGTTATTGCCTCCCAATGCAGGGATTTGACTGGATTTTGATGGTTTTTCCCAGATTGGTGCAAATGATAATAAACATCATGTCCTGATGTTGTGCTCCATGGGAAACATTATTACAAATAGTTTGGACAACTTTGACAAAAGGAAATTCCAAGTATCTTCTGCTGAGAACATTCCCGTGCAAGTCCAGCAGGTGGCAAACTCTTCCCATGACATTCCCAAGCTTTCCAAAGGAATCTGTTCCAAACTCAGTCCACTATGAAAGGCTTGAATTTGTATTGAAGCGGCTACATTGATGGACAAAAAGATCCTGGGTGTTACAAACGTCAAAGTTATTTTCCCGTTATAGCCTCAAATTGTCCTGTAGTACATTAAGATTGAATAAAGCATGATTTAAAAGAAAAAAAGAAAAAGCTTTTATTTCTCCAGGTGCGGCAATAACAGTTGATCCCAGAACAGGAAGGACTTCAACTGGACTTCAATTGGTATGTCTGATTAGTGGGTAAATGGACACTTATTTTGAAGAAAATTCAGGACTTTTTCCATCTAAGGTAATTTATAGATTGTATTTTAAAACGTTTTGCTGGCGGCATGAGGAATACCCTCAAGACAATAATAGTATAGCACACTTCCAAGAACGTAAAAGAGACTTGATTTTATCTTTCCGCATGAAATCCGAGGAGCGTTTTGGCTTGAAGCCAGCCAATTAACATAATCCTAAACGTATCATTGGTGTCATTATCAGTTTCTTATGTAGGTTAATACCATTTCCTAGGTGAATAGTGTCAAATCTCTGGCATCTCAAGGGATGCAACTTTTACAGCGGACACATGAGGTTCATTGGAGGATTAGGGAATTATTGTAAGCTGAAACGGCACATATTCGCTTGGCTGATTTATCAACTATACAGCCACTTCGAAAAGTGATCTGAGACCAACCTGAAAGTGATATGAAAATGTTTTTCTTACTTCACAAAGTAAGCCATCTATTGACACAGTTTTAGTTCCTCATTTCCTCAAAATAGACAATGCGATGAATACATCTCAAACAATTGAATGGTATAATATTTCCATACCACTGCACACGGCCCAGAAAAACACATGAGAAAGGCCTAAGAATATTATCATACAATACCAAGATGAGCTTTGTTTTCCAGACTAGTCTTACACCATTAGACCCATTATTGGATGTGATTGCTGCTGCGTGACCTGAATCTGCCAACTGGATGCACCTTGTTAGGAGATGGATGTGTAAAAACTTACAAGTGTTTTTGTTTTCCTGTGTTTCTAAGTTAAATCAGGAACATTTCATGCAAAACTAACATTTACATAAAGACTTTGGTGCCAAATACCCTTGAGCTCTTGATATGTCTGTTTATCTGCTTGACTTTACAGCTCCTATAAAGTTTGAGTTCTTGCCCCAACTCTAAAAAGAAATTCAAAGCAGAACCTTCACCCCCTTAGATATCCCACGCCTTCCGCTGTTTTTCCAAAGCCACTCTCTCTTCAACTGTGGTGTAGCCCTCTGCCCAGACATGGCTATATTCAGTCTCAACAATTACGTAAATGTAATGTTTATATTTATAGGTCTAGCCACAGCCCTCTATCATGGCAATATTGCAGCTGGGAAAGATTGTATTCTTCCTCTAGGCCCATAACATCTACCCTTGGGCAATACCACTAAGGATTCAAAAAGAGTGATTGGTATGCTAACATAGTGAACATATCGACAGACACGCATGTTTATATCTCAATTAAGTTTAATATGTACAATATTTACAGAGTATCAATTATGTACATAAAATGTTTGGTCCAGAACAACTCGCATAGCCCTTATCATGTCATCCGAACATGGGACAGTCTGCAATTCACGTTAACAACATACAAATACGTTAGAAAAAAAGAAACAAAACAACCATAAGACCCTGATTTTTAAATGTTTATGTTGATAAATGCACAAATTACTTCAAACATTCAGTTAACGCCCTTTGGTTAACTTTTAAGGCAGTTTTGAAAGAGAAAAACATTGTCTTATAAAGCTTATTTAGTTTCTTGAAACAATAGCATACATTTTTGAAAAAAATGCCAAGAGTATTTATGGCACTCATGAGATGTATACATGTATTAAAAGGCACTGTTGCGATGTCCATAGCACATCATGTTCACTTAAACACATTTTACTGTCTGATTCCAGTTCCGTCTTGAAGTTTAGGTCCAGCCTAGCATGAGTTGAACTTTTTGGCACTTGTAAAGCTCTTTGGAAAATATATTTTGTTTCTTTAGAAAAATCTGTAAAGAAATGAAGTGTAGAACCAGCTACAATGCAAAAGTCAAGTCAGTTCATGTTTCCTCTTTATCATGTTGACTGTCATACTTTAAATAGGGGGTACAGACAAAATGCTTGCTTTGAACATCCGTGATGTTCATTGTTCAGTGCGTTTAGTCCAAATATTCAGAGTCCGTTCCTACATGTGGCGTTTCATGTGGAGGGCGAGGTGGTCGGACCGGGAGAAGGCGCGCTCGCACAGGTGGCACTGGAAGGGTCGGTGTCCGGTGTGCTTGCGGAAGTGACGGGTCAGTTCATCAGAACGGGCAAACTTCCAGCCGCAACCTTCCCAACTGCAATGGTAAGGCTTCTCGCCTAAACAAAGACAAGAAAAGACAAGGTACATTAATATATATCCATTTTCAGCCATCCGTTGTGATGTCATTTAAATAAAAAAAAATGTAGATGATGCTGCAGTAGCATAGATGTTTATTTACCTGTATGTGTTCTGTGATGCGCCTTCAAGTGAGAACTTTTCGTGTAGGTTTTGCCGCATCCAGAAAAAGTGCAAGTGTGAGTCGCCGTCCGTTTCCTCGGCCAAGTGCGACGCCCCCTCTTTGGTTTGGTGTCCATCTCCAGAGGAGATGAGGGTGGTGTGAGAAGTACTCTTGGGTTAGAGCTGGGCATCCCGAGTCTGTCGTCGCACACGCTGAAGTGATGCGCATTTGGGTATGGCAGCTGCATCTGTGGAGGTGCAGCATGGGGAAACCCTGTGTTGCCTTGGTAACCCTGTGTGAATGTCATGGCATGGCACATCTGTGACTGACAGTCTGAGTTGATGAGCTCCGCGGGGCTCTGCGGTGGAGTCATGCTGCCTGCTCCTTGCGGCGAGTTGGCCAGTCTTGGCTGCTCGTAGGACCTCATGCATGCACCGTTGCCCTCCTGTTTGACTTTGGGAACCATTCCTCTTACAGGTTCATAACTGTCCATGCAGGGCTCCACTTTGATACACTCTGAAATGTCCTGATTGTGGAAGGCAGACCTGACCAGGAATCTTCCCTGGATGTTGTTGGGTAGAGACGGTTGGCAGTAGGTATCTACATCGGACTGCAGAAGCTCTGCCATGAGGCTGGTAGTATACGGTGGAGGTGACGGGTTGATCTCGGACACTGGG